TTCCTGCGAGGCAAATAATTAAATCAGATGGAAAAACTGAACAGCGTTTTTCCCAGGGCCAGGCAATGAGTCATTTTGTGTGGCTGGGACTGAACCGTGGGTGTTACGGTTGTCCAGCATCGCGGCCCTCTCCCTCAGCCAGGCATCCTTCCCCCGCCGAAGGGAGTAGCCAGGCAAGCGCAGCTTCAGTAAAGACAGTGGTAAATAATGAGTTAGCCAAGACTGCAGAGTAAAGATTTTCCAAGGATCTTGTATACAGCTGTGGAGCCTCCTCCGGTTAAGGCTCTGGCAAACGCTCTTTGCTTAGGAACGGGTCAGCAGGGAGGCGGAGTGGGGAAAGGCACCAGCCCTTGGGGATACAGTCGTGCCTTAGTCCAGCCCCCTGGGCTTCTTCCTTTGGCTTTATTAGGCTTTCCCATCAAAGTTTGCAAAAGGTTAAGTTTGAAAAAAAAAAAAAAAAAGGTACTAGGAAAAACAGGTTTTGGGGTGAGCCCTTCTCAGAAGGGCTTTATTATTAACCATTTTCCACAAAATTCATCGTGAAAAATTATCCGTACGCTAACAGTAGTTGAAACTTCTGTTTTAGTACAAGCCTGTGTGCAAATTCACTCCTGCACTTGGATTTCAGTTGTAGCACCTCCTGGAGGGCCGCTTGGTGCCTGCACTGTTGCTTTGCAGTGGGTCAAGCACCTAAGCTTGGGAACAAAAGGCATTTGAAAGGGAGCTCATCTTGCACTGACCTTCGTTTAATATCAGACATGACAGGCTCGCTGCGCACCTTTTTTCTGATACGGTAAAGTATAAAATTCCGTTCTGAATTGTGACAAGTTTGTGGTGGACAGTCTCTCTCTGTTAAAAAAAGGTAGAAGTCGTCAGGGGGACAGTCTGAGCTGAGTTGAACTGTGCAAGGGATTTTTAGTGTGTTGGTTTCCACCTTTCAGCCTCTGGAATCCCACCATGGGGAGGGAAAAAAGCCACGTCATTTTCCTGGCATCACGTGCTGTGTTAGCCATGGAGCACGGCACCTGCTAAGTAAAGAAAATGACTGTATTTAACAGTTCACAGGGCTGCTTGTGTCTTGGAATGCCCTGCAAATGCAGCCTTCCCTAATCACCAGCCTCTTGAATATACTAGATCTCTTCAAGTTTCTTCCTGGCATTAAAAAACAGGGCAAACAAAACCCTTGCAACATTCCTGGTGCCGGTTTAAGCAAGGCATTTAGTTCCTTAACACACAGAGATCAGGGTAAGCAATTCATCAGTGCTCTGTCATTCTTGCAGTTGGCGGGCTTTCCCCAGAGGATGGCATTTCAGGTATGTTCCTTGAAATAACTATGAAAGGAAGGTAAGGTAAATCCTGGCCTAGACACGGCAATGCCTTGCCAGCTGTGGGCAGATGTAGAGGCCTTCTAGCTGGCCTTTCAACATCGGGGACTGGGGTCTGCGTAAAGCAACGCCAAGATCTGAGGTTCTCCCCTCTTGTTTTTTCTGCCCGTTGCCCTTCCTCTGGCTCTCGGAGACCCCCGTTTCTCCCTGGCCTGTCAGGATTGGGACGTGGTGAAGAAAGCTGATCTGTGAGTCTCATGCTTATCTGTCGCTGATGACTCTTCAGCCTGAAAACGGGTGAAAGCGCACCTCAGCGTTCTGCAGGGAAGGGTGGGAGCAAGATGCGTCCGTAAGCGTAACAGCATAGCCTCAAACCCTTGGGTTTTTCCTGTTGGTAGTTTCCGTGGAGCTATGAAATCAGAGAAGAAAGCCAGGCCGAGTCACTGCTGCCGGCGGTAGGTGTGAAGTGAGCCGTCAGCTCCTGCTCTGTGTATGGTTATGGGAGCAGGAGAGCCTCAGCGCTTGAGGCAGCAGCGTGTTTTCTTCTTCTGTGCTTCTCTGTGCCGAGGTCAGTGGAGTCCTGAGGTCTCGCTGGAGCAGTGGTATCGGGCCTTGTGGTTGGTTGTGTGTGTCTGTCGTGGATGCAGCGTCTGCCGTGTACCGAGGGCGCTGGGCGACCGGATGGGGCTTTCTCAGGCCCATTAAGTTCAAACAGTCTCACCCACGTGAGAGCTAGAGTCATTTTAATTGAGTCCTCCAATTCGCTGTTCTCGTTCTGGGTGTATAAATGGATACGGGGATCGGATGACTTGTCTGTCTTGTACGGCATCCCTGTCTCTTTTAACACGTTGAATATTGCAGCAGCAGGATAAACGCCAGGCTTTGGTAACAACGTCTAACGACAAGGATGCCGAATGGTATTTCCCATGCTTACCAAGTCGCTTGTGGAAACTTTCCCTGTTGGACCTGTTCTGGACATGGCTTCTGGTCTCCGCTTGGGTGAGAGCCCGTGCCCAGGGAGTAGGCTCTTGCGAACCGGCGTGTGAGCGATGCTGCCTTGCTGAGCGAAGCAACCTGAGGAGTAGCCGCCTGCGCTAGGCCTGCTGGTCTGGGCTTCCCAGTAAGCCTCCAGACGCACGCTGTAGATTTGACCCCCCTCATCCAGCAGAAGGCAGGCGGGGAGGACTGACGTTCCAAAATAAAAACGTTTACGGGGTTTTAATCTCTTTCTGTTTTCTAACATTAGTTTTTTTAGGATTTCAGTGGCCTTTGAAAATAGCTCCGGGTGGATGATCCCAGGCATTCTTTAAAATGTCTCAGCAGACTCCCTATCCCTGCAGTGTTGCATGCCTTAACGTTGCCCCTGCACCAGTCAGCAGAGGAAAGCAGTTTCTCTCAGGCAGGATTTGAACAACCGGCCGCATACCGAGCGTGCTGAGTCAGTGCCAGTGAATTCGTACGCCCTGAATCACCACCGAGCTCTTCGGAGGCACTTCACTGCAACACATGTGCCTCTTCAAACATGAAAATTACTTCTCTTAATTACTCACTGCCTGCGTCAAGTTTAATTCAGGATTTTATGTTGTTCATTTCACTCCAGGCCATGTCTTTGCTGCAAAAGAAATCCTACCTTCTGCCTGGGCCGACTCTCGGGGGATAACATCTCCCAAGAACAAGGTGACTTCCCTGGAGAAGGCTGCTAACGGAAGCAGTTAGTCAGAACCATTCCCTCTTCCTTTACTAGCTGCGTCAAGATAGAAAATCCAAGTGCTTACTATTTTGGTTATGATACTTCCCTGAGGGTTTTAGGTTAAAAATGCTGAAAAATTGTACAAGCGTTCCTTGCACTAAGGCACAGACTTGGCGTGTTTCGGTCTGTTCCCTCTGTGTGCTCCTCGGCTGCTCTTGCAGCTGCACCACGTTCCTGTGCTAGCTGATCTCTCTCTCTGCTGTCACAGGCACTCTCTCAACTGTAGAAAAGGACGTGACGTAAAAAATGCTTCAGCTCTACCTCAGTTTGAGGGGGTTACCAATTCCGCTGTTTCTTCCAGATTGTCAGAAGAAAACCAGGAATGTCTGTTAAAAACATGGAGAGCTTTTTAGTTCTGACATTTTTAACCTTTTCCAATTTTTGGATCCCTAAGACTTTTCCAGTGAAGCACTGCTAATTGAAGCCTGTGGAGAGTAGCCGTGTGATTTGCCTCACTACCGTAGCTGCAATCTGCAGATCCCCCTGAAAACTACCGCCACAACCCGTTCCATCAGTAAATAAACTGGTTGTATGAGAAGTAATCGAGGCCCTGATGATGCAAATCGGATCGAAAAGGGAGTGTTCCGGTGCAGACAGGGGCCTGTCTGCGTCTTGAAGTGACGTGCTGCATCCGGCCCGCGTCAGGGGGCACAGCCCTGATGGCAGGGCCACTGACAAGACCAATCCCGCGTGTTTCGGCTCCGTGTGCTTTGTTGGTGGATGTGCCGGATTGTCCTCGTTGCGTTTGCTGGGGGGGGGCGTGATCCATCTAACCCAAAAGCAGGTGGAAATGAAACTGAGTTAGGCAAATGCCTGCGTGGTGCCTGACGTTGGACTATTCCTAGTAAACCTTTATTTTCCCCTTCCCCCTCCCAGGTTTTCGCTGAGCCCTCCATCAGTCTGTTCGCTCTAGAGTGCTGCAGGGGCAGAGAGCTGCACTTCAGTGAACCCATCAACTCTGTTCTGAACGAGGACCTTCATTTTTACACGCAGTCCGTGTGGGTGAGAGGTGGATTGTAAGTATGGAAGAAACATCCGTGTCAGTTCTGCATTTTAGGGGCTGGTGCTGAGCACGCGTTTTCTCCCGATTGCTGCCCTTATTCATAGGGTGTGTTTTACCTTCTGACTTTTACTTTGAGACGCTATAAAATCCTAAAATGCGGCTGAATGCTAGATCTGCTTCTTGTATTGGGACGCAAAATGAACAAAAACTCTGGGCAGAGGGTGTGTTTCCCCCTCTAAGAAGGGGGAATTGTCCTTTTACCCCTATACAGTAACGAACAATAGAGTCTGTCCAGGCCAGGAACCAGAAGTGTTGATTGCTGACTTACCAAGAGCAGGTGGAGTAAACCTGGGCTGCCTTTATTAACTGGCTGTAAAATACCAGCTATAAACTGCAGGGATTTAACTTAAACCCGTGCAGGGGTTCAGGGAAGCTTTGACGTGCTGGTCAGCTGCCAAAGAGGCAGCAACTTCTGAGAGAAGCTGGGGGCGGATCTGACAGCTGGAACAGTAATTTGCTTCTGTTATTAGCTTAACCCCCCTCCATGTGTGTAAATACATACCCAGGGTCATCCTGAGACTGGCTGGAAACTGCTCTTCTAATGTGACAAGTGTTTCCTGTGTGTATTTTTAACCTTTCCTCCACCTTTTCCATACAGACAGGGGGGTAATTTTCTTGAGAGCGCTTTTGTGATGACAAAGCGACACCAAATCTGAACTCGGTGAGCAGGGAGTTTGTGTAGACTGCTCGCGGCTCAGGTCCTCGCTGCTGGGATTCATACCATGAGTTTTTCAGACGCATCTGGTCTGTTACCACCTGGAAGTCAAAACACTTCCACGGATACCTGTGAGGACACTGCTGAGCGCTCCTCTGAGTCTCTGATGTTGATGTCGAGGCTAAGCCTAACCTAGCTAATGCTCCAGAGCATCGTGAACCAGGTTTTTTTCAGGAATTCCACACTGGTGTTTTCCGGGAAGGTTGTTTAAGGATTGACCCCAAGAGCAGGCAGTGGTGATTGGCTTTAGCTGTGGGCCCCTAGTGAATGTACACTTCCCCGCAGAGCTTTGCCAACTCACTCTCGGTTCTAGTCCATAACATCTGTGCTGCTTCCATCCTGGGCCCTGGCTGAAAATACGGAGAGGGCACAGCCACCTCCCGCTGTTGTCTTGAGGTGCCCCAGGTCAGAGCGGCAAGCAGCTGCCCTTTGAGGCTGAGGACAGCAGACACATTCCCTGTGATCTGTGCTAGTTTGGAGCAGGAAAGGACGCCTCTGGGAGGAACGCCTGGCTCGTTTCGGGTGGGAGCGTGTAAGCCGTCACACCTCCGTGGAGGTGTTACAGTCCGAAATGTGTCCTGTTGGGGACCGTCTCCTTAGGAGCTTCCTCTGCCCGTCAGCAGGGGAGTGGAACTGGAAATCAGATGGCTTTGCACTTGGCTGTAGAAGAAGGGCGATGGCTTTGGGAGCACAGGGTGGAGTGAGCACAGCAGTCCGGCCCCTTCTCCATCTTCCTGATGGTTTCTGAGCTTCCAGGCCAGGTTAGCTGGTTCCTTGTCTCTGGAAAGGGTCAGGGCAGAACTGGGCTTCTCTGAGCTCCTGGTGATGCTCCCTAGGAAACAGCCCTCGGCAGCCTGTCCCCACCCCACGCTGCAGTTGGGTAGCCTGACGGCTGGGGGTGGCAGGTGCGGGTGGGACGTCCCAGGGGTTTGTTTGCCGTATCTGAAATCAGCAGTTCAGGAAGGTGGACTTCGAGGTGTTAGGGCTCCTCGTCCCAAAGCCTACTGTTACCTTTAGACAAGTGACAAAGACACCGGTGGCATCTCGCTGCCAGGCTTGGCTACAAGGATCCTTCCCGAGCCAAGGGGCTGCCTCGGTGAGACACGGCACGAGCCTGGGCTGTGGCATGGCGAAGGGGCCGGGGCCTGAGGCACTCCGAGGTGTGGGAAAGGTGGCACAGCGGAGGCTGCTGCTCTGTGTGAGAGCTGAGGTGAGCTTTGCCGGTGTCGCTGAACACCAGCAGCCCAGCCTGGCTTTGCGCGGTTGTGGCTGTAACCATCTGTCCCCCTCCGTTTCCTATAAACGGCTGCTTTGAAACCGCCCTTCAGAGCAGCACTACCAGCGAGCGGACAGAAAGCATCGCGGGAGGAAAGCCAGGGGTGTGTTACCACGTGAGGAATGCAGGGTGGAGGTCAGGCTGCTCTGAGCACCTCTCAGTCAGGAAGCACCGGACTTCTCCTGGAGAGGTGGTGCTGCAGGCTCGTGCCGGAGCAGTTCACAGTTGGCACCCTTCAGCCTCCCCAGAGCCGGAGCAAGTCGGTTGTCGGTTTCTCCAAAATACATGGGATGAGGAAAACTCAGTGACAGGTGCTGTCAGCGCTGCCTGTGGACAGTTTCTCACTGAGGTGGAGCGCAGCCATCCCTCGTGGCCGTGGCAGCTGACCTGTAAAACGGGTAACGTGGGGAAACCACTATCTGCTCTGCGTTCAGGGAGTCAGGGAGGCCGGCGTTTAGGATTCGCTGTCTGCACAACCGCATCCTGTTGATGCAAACAAAACCCATCCGGGGCTGCCGTGGTAAGCAGGGCGGCAGCACGTAGCGAGCAGGTGCCTGGGTAACGGGGAGCTGCGTGCCCCGGCGCTTGGCCGGAGGGTTCAGCCCTGCCACGGCTCAGGGGTGTTCGCTGCAGGAGGGTCTGTCACAGCAACGGACAGGCGTGGGAATAAATATTCTGTATGTGTTTTCGGACACGTGGAATGGCTAGGAAAAGCTTTTAACTGTAACAGAAGAAAGCATTGGGCAAGCCCCTCTCATAATTAGTAAGTACAACCAGGCAAAGCAGCAAGTAGTGGCAGTCCGCTGTGTGGCTTCCTGGTTTCCTCATGCGTGCCCACTGAAACCTGCATTATTCCCATCTGGGTTCATCCAGAGGTTCTCTGGATGAAAAAATGTGGGAAAAATGGGTGTGGGGAGGGGAGTTTACAAGTTTCGGGCAGCCATACAGACCCAGAGGTCTTCGTTTAGACTGATGACAGCTAACATCACTGAAGCGGGTGGCGTTTCGCGGCACGGTAAGAGAGGTTGGATACCAGCCCTGCTGGGGAGGGGGGCTTTCAGGAGCACAGGCCTGAACACGTGCCTGGAGTTCAGTTTTGCCTTGGTTAACATGTAGCCTTTTGTGTTCTGCTTCCTGTATCCAGGTGGATTGCATACGAGGGATGTAATTTTTTAGGAAAGCAGATTCTGCTGGAGCCCAGTGAGATTTCCAACTGGAACCAACACAGTGGCTGGAAAGTAATTGGCTCCCTCCGTCCCGTAAAGCAGGTACTGTAAGACCGTATGAGGCCGATTATGGGTTTTGGACAGGGATTAGCGCACAAAGTATCAGCTCTACCACGACGTATAATGGTGGGCATTGTACTCCTTAAATCAGGCCAAATGGTGCCAGCCAGAAGGCCCTACTGGCAGATTACTGATGCAGAAAATTCCTCTAGTGGCAGTTATTGAGATCTATATTAGGCTCCTAAAGGGAAATAATTCCTAGTTTCCTGAAGCCAAGCTTTGTTTTCCTGAAAGGCTCATTAGCATGGTCTGTAGATGCTCTATCTTTAAATTTTTGCCATGTAAGAGGAATAATGAGAAAACCAATCTGCATTGGCTTGTTTCACAATTAACATAAATGGCAGCAAGAGCAGATTGTGTTGTGCTGCAGCCTGGATTTCCAAAAGAGGCAAAGTTTGTGCAGTCCCGCTGGGTCTTCCCCCTCTGCCTCGCCCCACATAATGCCAGCAGCCTCAGTCTCATTCAAAGACTCGGGTCTCCAAACCGCAGAGTCCTTGGGAGCTTTGCGAAAAGTGGTCAGAGAAGCAAGGCTGGGATAAATGCCCTTCGCTGGAGGAAGGGCAGGTACGATTCTGCTGCTCTGCCTTGCCCGGAGGCATCAGGCAATCGGGAACATGCAGCAGCCTGCGTCCATAGGGGAAGGATCTGCCTACGGCCAGACCACCCTGAGAACGCCCCATCTCGGAAGCTAAGCAAGGTCACGCCTGGTTAGTACTGGGATGGGAGACTGCGTGGGAATACCGGGTGCTGTAGGCTTAATCCCTGGAAGTGTTCCAGGCCAGGCTGGATGAGGCTTTGAGCAACCTGGTCTAGTAGAAGGTGTCCCTGCCCATGGCAGGGGGGTTGGAACTAGATGGTCTTTAAGGTCCCTTCCAACCCAAACCATCCTGTGATTCTATGATGACGGGAGAGTGGCAGGGAATGTGAGCAGTAACTCTGCTGGAAAAGGGTTTTTGTTAGCTCTGCTGCTCGCAGAACAGCTTGATTCCACTTAGTGACCAATCCTGCTTTATTCTCAAACACTGGATTCAGCTGGGGAAATGTTGCAGTCAACAAAAATAGTTGTCTTCAGCATTAGTTATGCATTATTTGCTCCCTCTCCCCAGAAAAGTAAAGGATTCCTTCCCCTTCCACCAGAACGATTTGTCAGTCCAAGAAGTTGACAGCTCCCAGGAATTCTTTGGAAGTGGTACCTACCACAGGATCCCGTTTGAGCTGTTTTTCCAAATAATGAAAATAATTTGACCTTAAACCCAGAATTCTCTCTTCAGCTGGCCATCTGCAGAGCTTTTGTATTTGGCAGCATCCTTTCCTATGCAGCAACGGTGTGTAGTGTTACAGGGCCTCCTTTGGCCGCTTCGTTGGGACTCGGCATTTGGGGGTTGTGCGGTTATTTTTTTGCTTTGTTTTTGTTTTGAATCCTGCAAGCCGAGGGCAGGTTCATGCCCTTGAGTTCCTGCAGTCAGCTACCAGCGCTCGACGCCTCTGTGGGCACGCGGTCCTTCGTTGTGAGGCTGGAGTAACGCTACAAACCTGCACCTCGTTATTATTTCTTGAGTTGTGCTTGAGTGCTTGAGTTGGGGTTCAGTAGAGCTGCCCTTCCTACCTCGCTGCTCCTTTATTTGCGCCGAAATCAGCGTCTGACAGAGCAGAAGCTCGAACCCTGTCGCAGCGCTGCGAAATCTCCTTTACTGAGTGAGCTGAGTAACCAGGGAGGCCAGGTCAGTGCCCCGTTGGCTGTGCGCGCTCAGAAGCAACGGTGTAACTCTGCCGTGTGTTCCAGTTAACGGGGTTGAAGCTGCTGGACACAGGGGGCTCTGGAGTTGTGTGTCCTGAGAATACAAAGCTTGTGGATTGCAGCCCATTTACTGGCCTTGGAATGAATGAAATGCGCTGAAGAGGGATATTTGCATATTGCAGGAATTAGGGGGGTTTTCTGAAAGATGTATTCATGTCTATAGAACCATCTGCCACTGCTGCTTACAGCTGTCCATCTGCATGTGAAAACCACTTCCTGCTGCTCTACAGCACATTCGTTTCCAACAGCAAAATCGCTGAGTGTCCCCATCTGCAGCTGGCAGTGGAACGTAGGCTGTCGAAAAGGGCTGAAGGATGGAGGGGAGGCCTTCCTACCTCCACGGGCTTGATCTCAGCCTTCTAACCGTCTTCCTTCCCACTGTTCCAGCCAGCGGTATACCTGCGAGTGAAGAACCGCGCCCAGGGTAAATACCTGACGGTGGCCGGAAGCCTGGCAGACGTGAGAGCAACGTCGGTGTGCGCGTCCCCGTACACTGGCAAGAACACCCAGGTCTGGCACTACTCTCATGGACTCTTCAAATCCAAGGTGAGTTTCCAGAGGCTGGTGCATGGCGGGTTTTGCCACCTGCTGTCCTTTCACCTTGGCCTCTTGCTTTTGCTGTAGGCTGGCGTTAACCCCGGGGTAGCTTTTGGCCTCTCCCGCGCCCCTTAAACCGGAACTCCTACAGCCTACATCCTCCTGCTGCGTACAGGCAGGTTGGATCAGCCTCGGCAAGTCGGACTACGTTCACCTTTGTCTAATGGGACTGATGTTCCTGGAAGTAGGAACCTGGTGTCGTCTAAAGTTGCAAGTTTAAGTTTATTACCGCTCAAGAATTAGGAATTTCTCTGAGCAGTAATGCAGGAAGTGATTGTGTTTTAATGCTGCTCTTGAGAGTCTGTTACTGAGATGAAGAGCTGGTGATTTAATGAGAAACCCCTGAAGTAACAGAGAGCACCGCCTCGCTTGCCAGGCTTCTGCCAGCTACAGCACGACTACTGCCGTGTGCTTGGTGCCGAACCGGAAACAGTCAGATATGAACCCCAGGCTCTGCGGCCTGGATCTCACTTCTCCGCTTGCTCCGTAGGCTAACAACGCCTGCCTGGATGTCATCGGTGGCAGAGATGTGCCTGGGGCCAAAGTCGCGCTCTGGGCCGAACATGGGAAGGACAGGCAGAAGTGGAGGCTCAGTGAGGATGGAACCATCCGGTCGTACCTCAGCGACCAACTGGTGCTTGACATCAAAGGTATTTTTGATTTAAAAAACCAAAACCCTTAAACCTCCCATGTTCCAAGTGCACTTTTTTCATTGAGATCAGTTGCCGTATTCCAGCTCTTTTTGGACTTAATACTGAATCCTGTCTTTCCTGTGAGGTTTATGTCCAGTTGCTGGGCGGTGGGACGAGAAACGACAGGGCAGGGGGGAACCTTACTCATTTGATCCCAGGGGTTTATTTTGATCAGTGAACTGTTCTGCTTGAGGGAGCCAAGTAGTGCTGATGGCAAGACGGGCAGGGCACAGCAGACAAGCAACCACGAACAGGGGTGGCTCAAAAAGAGGGAAGCGCTCGCTCCTGTTGCTTTCAGGCTGGGTAAAACTGTCGCTGCTCAAGGCCTAGTCCTTCCCATTATCCATCATGGCAGAACTGCCTCACTGGAGGATGCCCCTTCCGCACGCACCGCTTGCTCCAGCCCTGCTGCGGGCGCTGTCCCTAGGGACGAGCCGTGCGGGCAGTGGCTGGGGGCTCTGCGGTGCCGTCTCCTCCGCTGAAAGGTCTCCGCAGTGACAGCCGAACACGCCACAGGCCTACAGGGAGCCAGGGTCACGGCCCAGCCCACCACTGAAGGCATCCGCCTCTTCGGTGAATGTCTGACTGGCTGTGACACAGCCGGCCTCTGGGGCCCAAACGTAGCCATTTGAACTCCTAGAGCATTCCCGGCTTCCGGAACCGGGGAGTTTAAACACCGCTGTCCCTAGTAAGTAGTTACTACAACGCCACCAAACGCAACTGGTAATGCCAGTGGTGGCTCCTGTGGTATCAGAAAGCTGTGCTGCCTGGGTTACTGCAAGGCAGGATGCTGAAGGCTGGGTGGGGCGAGATAGCGCTTGAAAAGCTCTCCAGACCATTTATTTCTGTGAGGGGGTACGGTTTTATTTATGGCGTCATGAGAAAAAATGCACTAGCCTTTCTGTGCTACCTGTATGCGAAGGATAGCAGTTTTATTTCGAGGTCTTCCCACCTTTGTGGTTGAAACCTTTGCAGTCCTCTGGGAGAGGACTTTTTACAAGAGCCTGTAGTGATAGGACCAAGGGGTAACGGGTACAAACTGAAAACACGGAGGTTTAGATTAGATATCAGGAAGAAATTCTTCCCAGAGAGGGTGGTGAGGCAGTGGAACAGGTTGCCCAGAGAAGCTGTGGATGCCCCATCCCTGGAAGTGTTCAAGGCCAGGCTGATGCGGGATGAGGCGTTGACCAACCTGGTCTAGTGGAAGATGTCCCTGCCCATGGCAGGGGGGTTGGAACTGGATGATCTTTAAGGTCCCTTCACACCCAAACCATTCTGATTCTATGAAACGGATGCACTACGCCAAACAGCCTCACGTCAGTCTGTGCCCAGTCCACCGCAGCAACAGCCGCCTTAAAAACCCTGACGCGCAGGAGGAGCTCGGGGTCTGCCGAGAGCAAAACCTGCAGCAGCGCTGCTTCTGCACACAAAGGTGTACCGCAGGGCTCCGGCGTGTGGGACATTCTGCTTCCGAAGGGCCGGAGCTCCTCGGAGCCAAAGCAGCCAAGCAGCCGTTGGAAGGAGACAGCGCACAGAGGCAGAGGGAAGGACGGACTCCAGCCCCGGCCTCAGGGGACTCCTGGGTTTCAGCCACTTACCCTACCTGCTCCCACTTCTGTAAAGATTATGCATGGGCTTTTCTGAGTGTTTCTTTTAAAGATTGTTCCTTCCTGCTGTTTTGTTTTTAAGGAGGAAACCATTATGACAAGAATCACATCGTTATGAACCAGCCAGTAGACGACAGACAGTCCCAAAAATGGGATATTGAAATACTGTGAGTAAAACCCGCCCGCAGACGGACCTCGTGTGGGTTATTGACATCTGGAGCGGGGGGAAAAATACCCCCAAACTACTGAAGTCAAGCACCACTGGAACCTTAAGCAGCACCTCCTCTCTGCTTCCCTGCAGACCAGCACCAGCTCCTAAGCCAACGGAATTTTGCACATATGTGGAAGATTGGAGGTCGATCAGATGTCTTTCCGCAGGGAAACTGGCTCTTTAGAGGCTGCTCCCACGAAAGCTGCTATTGCTCTTCATCCGAAGGACAGAAAGCAGATGCAGGTGTGGCAGGATATGGCACACTTCAGCCACCTCGGCTTTACCTCCCTCAAAACTGACGGAGGAATGCACTACTTCTCTTGAAAGGGGCTGTTGGACTTCTGTGTCCCGAGTGAAACAGGCTCCAAGCGATCCTGAAGCTCAAATCCTGCCTCTTTTGCTGAAATGCAGCTTATTTTGTTTGCAAAGACAACAACTTCGAACTGGAATCGCCAGCTCAGCAGGGCAGCAGAGAAAGCCTGGCTTTCAGCCTGGAACGATGCCAGGAGGCAGGCCTTTGCCTTCATTTCCTCTAGAATTCCACTTTTCTGGAGTCAGGAACTGGCTCTGCTGCCCCACGGCCCCTTTCCAACCCACGCAACGGCGAGTTCTCGCCGAGGGGTCACTCTCAGCGTGGCGCCGCAGGTGCAGGTATCAAAGGAGCGAGTGGTCCTGGGTCAGGGCTGGCCACCTGTAGAGCAGCGAGGGTTTTACCTCCAGCGGCACGCTGGTTTGCTGTAAATAGGTTAATTTAATACAGCGGAATTCGGTCTTGAAACCGTGTCTTCCTTCAGAAAATAAGTCACCCCAGTACATACCCTCAGAGGTGCTGGCAGCCTGCGTTTCGGCGCTCGCTGCCCGCCGCGTAACGGGGCGTAAAGGTTGCTGTGGCGCGTCCCGACACGCGCATCCTCTCCCAGAGGACGAGGACTCGGACTGATGGCCCAGACCTTGGCGCGACGCCGCTGCTGTCCTCTATTGCAGCGCGGGGCAGCTGGGCTACTAGCTGCCACCGGAGGCAGATCCAGCCCAGCGCCTTACCGGCTGCGAGCAGCATGTTCCTCGCTCCAGGCTGACACAGGGAGAAGGGACTCCGGACAGCTACGAGAACCTGGCATGGAAGAGCAGTCTCTTCCATCACGGGTCACGTCATTCCACTGCAGCATCACTGACTTCAAGGAAGTATATTTTTTTTTCTCCTTATTTGTATATCTGGGGTATGTATTTCTACGACTATTTAAGGAGATCAGGTTAGCTGAAGCCAGTCCTTCAGTTCCCAAAAGTTGTAACTACTCCAGTTGAGCATTCAGAGAGGATTCATCCCCCAACAAATAAAAAGGCGTAACCCCAAGTTTGCCACAGAAACACAATATATGGATGTCTATTTTTGTATGAGATGGAGTTCTTTATAGTACTATTTAAAAAAAAAGGCAATTATCGACTTGCACTTACTATTTTACATTCTAAAATGATCCTGAATCTGCGGTTTAAGCGACGGATCTCACACGTACGTATACCTTTTTCCAACTCAAGCACTTGTTTAGGTTTTTTATGTGTCAGTGTATCAGGCCTTCCAGGCACGATTTACTTTCCCTAGGAAATTTTAAAAGCCTGTGTAAAAAGCTGTCATCTTTTAACCCACAAATGACTGAATTGTGGTTGGGGTGTCAGTGCTACCTGACAAGCTTTTGTACTTCGGAGATCTTGAATGTAAAATGCTAAGCATGTACATTTTAATTGTGTAAAACTTGTTTTTAGGAGGAACATTTTGCTTGTTGGTTTCTTTCTAAACAAACTAAATACAACTCCTGTTTTTAGCCGGTGCCGAGCGCTGTCCTGTAAAACAGCTCCCTTCAAAGGGACACCGAGGGGTAAGGAAGGACACTGAGGGTGTGACTAACGTGCAAACTCACGTACCGGCACAGACGTGGGTGCAGAAGTGTTAACTGTGTGACTCCCACCAAACCTCACTCAGGTGAGCACTGGAGCTCCAGGTTCCAGGTACAGGTCCCCGGGTTACTTCCATGGGGCCTGGGGGCTGGAGGAGGTAGAGGTGAAGTACTCTTGGTTGTTTGCTTATTCCAGAGGTGGCACTACATGAGAGGGAAGGGGGTGTCTGGGGCAAAGCCAGACAAACACAACAAATGGGTTTTCTTCCCAGTGAGCTTCACCAATGAAAAAACAAGCTCCTAGTTTTTGCCTGAGGGCCTGGAGCCTGCTGCTTCACGTGTACCTTTGGATGACCTCTGCATCAAGGGATGTATCCAAAGGAAAGGGGATGCCACGGCACTGGTGTTACTACGACTGACTTATCCGTCCACAGACGTGGGGCTGTGGCTGATGGGCCAGCGAGTGGCTCACATGGTTGTCCCAAAGCGAAGGAAAGAAAAGCAGCATTTGGCACCAGAAAGCAGCAAAGTACATCCATTGCAATGCTTTGTTAGAGAGCAATACAAACCAAAGGCTGGACGGATAAAAGCCATAATTTAATAAGCCTTTCTCGAGAGATTCTTAATGGGCAGAAACACTACTTCAAGGAGCGGCTCATTCACCAAAGCATCAAATGACTTCGATTAGACACTCAGTCCATAGGGACAAGGCAAGGTTTTCTTTCTCTTCATCCGAGATAAGCTTAAGCTCTTTAACACAAACAGCACTGCTGCTCCAGATCTGCTTTAGCGCGTCCAAGTGTGACAAAGGAAACCGCAGTCCGTGAGTCTGCCGGGGGCAAAAAAAGTCATTAAAACTCAATCAGGGTACTGTCCCTTCTTATAACCAGCGAGCTGGGCAGCACCATCCTGCCAGCTTCCCCAGCCAACAAACAGCTGCCATCTCCGCGTCTTCCCTGTGGGGGAGGGAGGCTTGAGGTCCATGGCCCCATCAGTGAAAGCGTTTACTCACGCTGCTGGCCCGGCCCACCCCACCCCACCCCCCCATCTGGCAGCACACTCCAGTGGGTACACTGTGACAGGGGTTCAACGTGGCATGTGCGTGAGGCGCAGGGATCCCGGCTACTAGTGACCTTCTGCTGGCACATCCAGTGGCCTTAATAAAGGATGTGCAAATGCAGACAGAAGAGACCCTTCCAGTAGCTTTGCCACCCAGGACATAAGACGTGTAGGAAATCCTGTTAACACCTCAAGCGTTTAATTTAAGCATGAGATCACGTTACCGCGTTGTGCTGCTAACTGCCTCCGTGTTGCAGCCTCAGCTCGCCCGGTACTTGGGAGAAGGGCAGAAATACTCAGCGTGCTGAGGAACCCTAGGCCCCAGCCAACCCCCTCAGTCAGGCTCTTCTAACGCAGCAAAACCCAACGTGGCCCTGAGGCTTTTGGGGTGTGCGCGGGGTGAACAAACCTGTGACGTGCCCTCCTCGCTAGCCGCCTCATCTTCTGTCCCCATCATGTGAGTTTCCCTCCTGTTCTTCAATGAATGATACACATAAACCATCTCTCTGCGGATTTCATCCTAAAAGACAGCAGGAAGAGCATGGTTACTTCAAACTCATCTCACTCAAGCGACAACGTTGGCTCCTTAATTCTGAACCCACTGTAACAGCACTGAAAGCAACTCGCCCTCCGAACCGACTGATCCAGCGGCCACCCGCTACCGAAATGAGGGAGTTGTCAGATGTACAACCCGTGCTCGTCTGCCTCCACCAGACTCACAGGGCTGAAGCCGTACACAACAGGTGCCTTTTAGGATACACCTCCTAGAAGCTCTTAATGCAGGAATCTGCATCAGTGAATTCCCACCACGACACTGATCTGTCCCTTTAAAAGCGTACGCCTGTAGCATTCCACCGTCAAGGCTGCGCAGACCGACCCAGAGCGTGGTGGGCAGGGGCCACACAGAATTTGTTGGCACAAGTCTGGCACGTGTGCTGTCACTCGGGGTTCGGCTGTACGACATCAGAAGGCAGGGTTGCAAAAGACAGTTCCCAAAACCCACACGTGGCTGGACAACAGCAACGCCGTCATCTCCTAACCAACCCCGGGGGCATGCAGGATCCGACAAAGCACAGCCGCAGGGCCCTTCCTGACCAGTACAACAGCTCCCAGGCATCGTGCTCCCCAGCACTCCCAGCCCAGGCAGGCGAGGGTGGTGTCGGTCCACTTACGGAATTCTCTTGATCCGGTTCCACCGTAACGACAGCATGATCTCTGAACTGCAGTCTGATTTTGCTATCTATTTTTGGCAACTTCCCACCTGAGAAAAATAGAAGTCTTGTGTTAGAAAGGAAGGAAACCAAACAAAATTGAGCCCTTTGTGCACCACCCACTCTCCTCTGGCTAGAGTTTCTGTTAGCCTGTGCTTCAACACCCACATGTGCTCCAGCTGGGAAGGGGAAGGGGACTTTCTTACTCTCACCTTTACAGTCCAGAGATAGCTGTAAGAGCAAGCTCAAGTATAAGGGCAAATTCTACCAGTTAAACATTCACAGTGCCCATCAGCTGATGAAAGTAGCCAATTCCAGCCTAGGATAACTCCTGTTTTGCTCTGATAGAGGTGCCAGCTCTTCCACCAGACCCGGGGAGTTACCTGACTGAGGTGTGCAGATGCACAAGACGACGCTGACGCTCTAATCTCTGCCTACCGTAAAATACCAGAGTGGTAAGGGGCGGAGTTAGCACCCGCTCTGCCGTCACATCAGCCAAGGGAACGGGGAGGGGTAACTTCGAAATCTACCTGGGGTCAAAAGATCAGCCTCACATCCCAAGCAAGGTGGCAGCCGGTTCATAATGAAATCCTTCTTCATGTCGGATGATCTCAGTTCTCTGGTGTTTTCCACACGGTCTGCAAGCCTTCTCAGAAGGCTGCTCAGTTTTTCTGTTGAGTCGGCTATGTCCACCTGCTAAATACGCACACAGAGTTGCTCTGACATGAATTCAAGCTAAACAGCCTAGCCTGAGGAGAAAGAGGGGCAGCAGTGCAGTGAGAAACTGGATAGTCCTCTGTCATCTCTGCAAAGGGTAACAACGTCTTGTCATTTACACATGTCACAGGAGCTGTTTGCGCAGCCTTAAGCAGTTCCTCGTGTGGCTGAGACACTGGTTCCTGCTGTGTGCTGAGCAGCTGCACAACTGGACTACCCTAAAAAGGTCACGGAACAATTTATGGCGCCACTAACGCTGAAAGATTCAAAAGCTGAGTCTGACAGGAACTGCCTGTCTGACAGCTCCAAAGCAAATGCCAGTACTTCTAGAAGGAAACAAGCCACACAAGGACACTGTGATAGGAAAGGCAGTGCAGTGACCTAGGCAAGGCTTCAGATGGAGCAAACCTCCGACCAGTCATCCTGAAGACTTTAAAAGAAGTGGCTGTGCTGCCAGACGAGATCGTGCCATTGCACTGCGCCTTCAAAGCAGCCCAACGAGACGCGTGCTTGCCTTGGTGCTGGAGTTTCAGCTGGCTGCATGCTTATTCCCTTAGTCCCAGCTGCTTACCATGAGCAGCTGCCTCGGTATGCTTGTCCGCAGTGCCACATCTTCTTTTGCTGTCTCAAACACAAGGCCGGGAATTGTATCCAGTAAGAAATCTCCCCAGGAGCTGAAGGACAGGAGGGAAAAATTTACTAAAATAGTTGCACTGAAATGAAACAGACAACTGATGTCAAGGGCTGGAAGTTCCAAATCTGCTTTGTGCCTTTGGCCCTGCCGTTACCACTCTGTAGCCTCACACAATAACTCGCTCCCATCTCACCTGTGTGTGTGTCCTCACTAGCTCCAGGTCAGTGGGACTCCGAGAGGGAAGGAACTGGCTTGAGAAGGGTCCAGGTTGTTCTGATTGAGGTGCTTGGCATTTATCGGTGGTGTCAGCTTAAAGCTACCCTCAGCGGATGAAATTCCTACCGGGACCGTTACTGCCCAACCGCACGCACACACGGCCTCGCTGCACACACTGAGGTGCTTGGGCTTGTGTATCACTGAAAATGCTTTTGAGGCACTTACAGTGAAGGAGGAAATGCACCCAGGGTTATCAAAGCCAACACAGGACCAGTTTCTAGCTTTGCTACAAACTAATAACCCCAGGAACAAGACCCCTGCCTGTCTCTACAGGGATTTTAATGATACTTACACACCCAACAGGCACCTTGTAGGTGTCTTGTTTGTGTTACATCCCCACTCTTAGCCTACATAAAGAAAAAGATAAAATTTGTAAAAAAAGGCCTTCGTTCTCTGTGCTTCTGTTCCCCAGTTACAAGAATAAACTCGAGGAGGGGAGGGAGGACTGCTGCCCACACCTTCTCTGCCTCGCCTGAGCCAACCTCATCAGGAACAGGCATGCCTCTCAGGCAGAACCCCTGTCCTGTCCACACGTGTCCTCTCTCCCTGCCACATCCTCAGAGGGCGAGTGCCCAGCATCCAAGGGTGCCAGCTCACTCCCACCCGCCTAGAGCTGGCAGCAGAGCAGGGCCTGCCCTCCCACACACACTTCACCCTCCGCTCCTGCTCTCCCTCAGCAGCCCCCATGTTCAGCACTGATCTCTGGATGCTACTTCAGAATAAGAAAAACAACCGAACATGACTCGTTATAGTCTCATTTACACTATTTCTATCCTCTTAAGTGTTCCACTGTCTGCTGCACGCTGGGAGGGAAGGACTCTGGCCGATAAAGACTTCTTACTGCTTCCCTTCTCTTGCCAGCAACTGTCTTCAACTGCTCACTGAGCTTCCGAACTCCTCTGCTCGTAGCAAACTGGCACACACACGCAAACTTCCCTGCCTGCGGGGACGTGGCCCAGAGGAACCGTCCTCCAGCACACAGTGGAGTCCCTTGGTCTCGGTGCCTAAAAAGCCCCGCAACTGCCACTTGCGCCAGCGCTCCTCCCTGCCCAGCTCCTTCTGCGCGTGCCACTTCCAAAGTGGTCACAATGAGTCCAAACCTCCTCCATACTAAGGACTAGCTATTTTCAAGGAGCGCTTTTCAATTTTCCGAGGACACGTTTCCAGACCACACCTTGTTCTACAAGCCCAATGAAAACACCAGCCCCTATCAGGATTGTTGCTTCTTTTACCTACGCTGGCTGAAAGCAGGGGCAGAGGCAGGCTCTTCTCTGCCAACAGTCTCAGTGGATGGCGCTTCCACTTTTTAAATCCTTAGAAGGACAGAACTCCTCAAGCATTTCCTTTTTCCTCTCCTCACTCTGACATGAGCACCCTGGGACCATGCTCCCAGACAGCCCCGTTATCACGGAGAAACCGCACTGAGCCCGCACAAGGCTGTCAGAACAGCAAGGCTGTTAGAAGGAACTGACCTCCTGTCTCCCCAGCACTACTGAGTTACCAGCAGCACTGACATCCTGGGCTGCCAGAATGGTACAGCGGGCGGTCAGAGATTCATCTTGCAATCTACCACATGCCCAAACTTGTCGTGCCCTGTTTTGCGGCTGACGGGAGTCCTTCCCAATTCCTGACTCGGAGCAGTGACTCCAAACACAGCACCTGAGAGGCCGGTCAGGTGGCAGCCGCGCGTCCCTGCGTGCCGACGTCTCGGTGGGCGTCGAAGGAAATCTGACTTGCGAGCACAGGGCAGGAGACGGAAGAGACAGGCAAGGAGAAAACATTTGAGAAGGGAGAGTTTGTGGCGAGTCGGTGAGAACAGGGGTGGGTGATGATCAAACGCAGGAGAAAACAGGATGAAAGGAGTAACCCGTGACTTTATCTGGGTTATGAAACAAACAACAGCTTCAGCCACCCGTGAGAATGTTTTTTTAAACACAATAGTGAGTTTGCAGTTTCCACATTAAGTGGAAACATTAAGTAAGTAATAAAATAACCAATTAAAAAGCAATCAAGCTGGCTGCGTGAAACCCTGGTAAATAGGCTGCTTCAGACAACAAGGCTCTCGCTCCCCTCCTTCCCCCACGCCCCCAGACCTTCAATCACTCCCACCCGAACGCCAGCTCGCCTCCTGTTACTAACAGCCAGGCACATAGGCGGTAGAGGTACCTACACACAGTCCATGTCACCGCACCTCTGGGGGACAGGGACATGCCCGACCCCTGTGTTATTCACAGAAAAACAAACCACACAAGGGCTGCCCAGAATGAAAAGAGCTCAGCAGAGCTCGTTAGGAGGTGGTGGGTTTTTTAAACATTGGCTTCAGGTGTGTGCTATTCACACACGTCACCTGGCAGAGGAAAGCTGTTTTCAGAAAAGCCATACTAAAAAAACCAAAGTAGTAAAGAATAATTACTTGTTTTGGTAGGTGCTGATGGTCACGTGTGTAGAATAGGAGGTCCCGAGAGGAGTGTCAGCTTGGTGAATAGTCCCTCTTGGGAAGTACAGTAAGTCACCTGGCTGCAAAAAAATAGAAGAGGGTTGATGGGCACCTGGTCAAGCCTCGCTGTAGTCAAAACAGAGGAACTACTCTCAGAGCAGACAAATAACGTGTATTTTTTAAATTCACAAAATAGAGAGAAATTCTCCACTGTGCACTTCAACAACATAAAATAAAGCACTACAAGCCAGAAGCCTGACACCTTGGACCTTCCAACTTGCTGTCAGTGGTTACCACACACCTGTCTGAAAGCACAAAGCAAGTGTTTAGCATTACAGAACGTGCACACTCCAACTCAGCGGCATACAGGGACAGAGAAGCAGCCGAGATGAGCCTGCTGACAACCCAGCGAGCCAGCAGAGGAGCAGTGCAACGTGAGTTTGGTCAGATCCTGTCAAAAGAGAAGGCCAGTATTCCCCAAGAAAAGCCAAATATTCTCTAAAGATGGCAATCTGTTCTTACAATACTGTTGTTTGAAATTTTCAGTTAAAACACTTAAAAAACTAGTACAACCTTTCTTCTCTCTGTCTCTCTTCTCACCTATCTAAAGTAAATCTCCACACTGATAAAAATGTAGATTAGGAAAGTCAAGAGAAAACTGCAAAGCACATAAAATTGCATCCAAGAAGGAAGAATCAGTCCACTTACAGCTTCTCTTTTAAACATATAGTTGAATAGCACAGTCAAAGAGAAAATTCATAAAGCAACAGTGATGAAATTTGACTCCTTTTTAATGTTACCATTCCTTAAATTCAGTCACATGACCAACTTCTAAGAGCCTCTCTAGCAGAGACAGATTTCAAGTGAACACTACCTGGTTTTTCACTGAATCGAACAGTCTCTTTAGATTATGAGGCTTCACAAGATCAGCTCTCTTCCATCTATAACAAGCTGCAGAGCACCACAGATCAGCTATTTACTTGTTCTGAAGCAAGCCCCCTCCCGCCGTTCAGCTGCCTTCCTCAGCAGCCCAGGGGCTACGCTAACCAACCAAGGGTATTTGGAGGTCTCTCCACTTGCCATGTGTCACATCCCCCGCGAGAAAACAAACTGGAGGGAGGGTCGCTGTTGTGGGAAGGTTGGAGCCCTCCACATCTACCGGAGTGCTGACAAACCAGTCTGCCAAAGAAATTACTTCATGCTGTAGCAGCCCATGCCTACCACGAAGAGGCCAGGACCGTGATTTTGCAAAGCAGTCTTCGCTGCAACGTCCAGCTCTTACTCATCTGATCTGCTGGGCAGTCTCAGCAACGCCCTTCTCGTGAGCCAGCAAGCACAACGCTCTTTAATTAAAATCATCAGAATCTTCGCAAGCTGGCAGCACGCATCTCATCACTTTGCCACCTTCTACCCTCTGCATCAAAAGAAGGAAGGGCAGAAAGGGAGAAACCAGCCAGTTAAATGGAAAGTCATTTAACGGCCAGCTACCGAGTGAGCTCTGTGCTTGGTGTCAGGATCGAACCAGCCATGGCCACAGCCTGCTGCAGCATCACCGAGACACGCTGCGGCTTGGGACCGCACACACAAAGCAGCGTGCCTCTGCTCTGTCAGCTAACGGTTTTTGGAGGGAAGGGAGACCACCACCCACAGAGTCTCTAACCGGTCCATTTGTTCTCAAGTGGATGGCAGACAGGAGACAGGAAAAAGGAAATATTCGAGAAAGATGTTTAAGGAGGAAGTAAGTTGTCTAAGAGCATCCCTGCCAGAGACAGCTTCAGACAGGCAACCAAGATCTGACCGCAGCCACCCAGAAGAAATGGGTCATGGGAAGTGAAGAGCATCAAGCAGCAGAAAAATTTAATTAAAAACTTAGATCATTTTTAAACCCTTTTCAGAGGGTTCAGATCATTTTTAAACCCTTTTTTATTCACTCCACTAATGTCAACAGTAGGCTTGTGGGATACATCATTATTCCATAGAAATCAAAGGCATTGAAGTCCGGCCCAAAATGATCCGGACATTAAAAGGGAACTGCAACTCAGTAGACTCTGCATCATCACAGCACGACAACTGAATATTGCCACCTGTCAAACTACACATCTAGCGATCTCAGTACCGCATCACGCGTGTCACACTATTCCTGAAGTACCTACACCCACAGGCAGGTCCGGACACGGGTCTCTTGCAGAGAGAGGCTCCGAGACAGGACACAAGGCAGAGAAACCGAGGAGGCTTCTGACACAGAGCAGCCCTGTCTGCTGGGTAATAACACATGCCAGAAGCACGAAACCGAACAGGACAAGTACCAGATGTCCTGGTGTCAAAGGAGCTGCATTCATTGATCTGCATGAAATGCTCTTTTTATTCCAAAAACCAGCCAAACACTTGATGCTCATGTTTGGGAAAAAAACTATTAATACAGCAAGTTAATACAGGGTTCAGATCATGCTTTTGTTTATCAGCCAAGGATAAACATTTAAATCTAATTCACCAGAGCAGTGACAACCTTTGGTAGAGCAGTAAGTCTTAGTGCACAGAAGGATTAGCCTGACTGAGTACAGACCTCATGTGAAAGCACAAAAATGTTTCATAACCATATATAAACCCAGTGTGTTTTCTGCACACAACCCCACAAGCGTGATCCAGGAGTCGAGGTGCCCAACTTAGAGAACATTGGAGAATGTCCAGAAATAACTGGTTTCTTGGTCTATTATTTAATGCTAAAGCAAAGGATACCTTTGAAAAAGGATAAGTTAGACAAGTATCACCCAAACTTCTCATGCTCACAGTGTTTTGTGCCCCAACCCTCCCCCAGTTTCACAACCATTGTTCAAAATGCTGCCTTCAAGGAATGGACCATGTTAAACACAACTACTTTTCAGGCACCCACAGCCCAAGACCAGGTAAAAGCAATTTGATTACGATACCTTTAATACAAATTCATGTGTGGGGTTCCCAATCCTGTCTTCCGATTCAACATTATATTCCCGAGCTAAGTGCACCGTTGGCTTATAGAGTCGCCAGTGTTTCTCGCCTTCTAGCTGCAGGATGAACACCTGCAAAAGACCATAAATCCAAAGGCATAAGGAAGCTTTGCTGCCCCTCACACGTCCAGCAGATCACAAATATTAACTTGCCTTCTTGGAAAGTCCACGGGGCCATGCCAGAAATCAGGGAGAGAAAGCAAACAGAAGTGACACAGGTTGTTTTTCTGACAAACAGACTTCACTTTCCCTGCTCTCAGCTGCTGTCCAGCATGGCAACCTTCTCACATTCATTTTCACATGTCTACAATGCAGAAATTTACATCTCAACTATTTCTCTTCTTGGAGACAACAGAGAGAGTTGTAACCTGCAATCTGTTTTATCCTAAGGTAAGCTTCTGGAAATCCCTGTTTCCCCTCTTCACTTAAACAGGTGCTTGACAACTAACTTGAAAGTAGTGCCTGCCACAGAGATGCTCAAAGTATCAGGTGAGAGAGGTCGTATCAGCATTCACTGACAAAGAGAAACATCTCATCAGAAACACCTCGGGGATGCCGCGAGCTGGGGCTTGTCATAAGCCAGAACATGCAGGCAGTGGGGCTGCTGAACAGCAAGCACAAGGAAAATGGAACTCCAGAGGTACGTAATAGAAATGAAAATAAAAAAAGGAAAAGCAAAATATACATTTAAGGGTGGTTTTGGTTTGGTTTAAGTAGGATAGCCCACTTCTTTTGTTGTGTTAAATGTAATGTCTAGTGCACTTGAGGCACTGGAACAGGCTTCCCAGAGAAGCTGTGGATGCCCCATCCCTGGAAGTGTTCAAGGCCAGGCTGGATGAGGCTTTGGGCAACCTGGTCTAGTGGAAGGTGTCCCTGCCCATGGCAGGGGGGTTGGAACTAGATGGTCTTTAAGGTCCCTTCCAACCCAAACAATTCTATCTATCTATCTATTTCAATGTTTCTTTTAGAAGCTAATTTAAATTGCATTTGGACCACAGGATCTCATCATACCAGTTTGAAAACAGCAGGGCCAGCAAAGAGGAACCAGCATAACCAGTCTGCTTCCACTGTCCAGTTGAAGAAAAAGCAAGTACTCAGTGAAGGAAAAAGGCACTTCTAGATTCCTGGGGGCCTGAATGAAGTGAAAATGAAAACAGCTTCTGCAGCTGGGAAAATGAATTCTCACCTAATGAAAACATGAGGTCTGGAAAGCACAGTTTACACGATATTACCATCAGATATTACCATTAGTACCTTTTCAGTAAAATTATACAGGAAAAACAACCATAAAGAAATACTTTCAACCAACTGCCATAAATTTCCAGTGGAAAAAAACATTTTTTCTATAGTAATTTATTTTATGAGAGGAGGGGGAAAGCGCACATACAGGTATCCACTGCCGCTAGCAAAAGTCCCCGCATGCTTGCACAAGGTTGTGCCGTCCTACCTCAACATCATCGTAGTGAGGGGGAAGGCCCTGCGACCCCTGCGGAGTAATGTAAACATTCGACCCAACCAGCGAGCCGAAGTAGCACTCCAGCTTCTCCTGGATCTTCCACAGCTCCTCCTTTAGAAAGAAACAGTGCTGTTACTACTGAAGAGCTCGGCCGAGCCAGGCTGCCGCCCGGCACGCAACCTCCCCTTCGCCTGGGAGGTTCTTCTAGCGTTCCCATCCCCACAGAGAGACGGAGCTGGGAAAGCAGGCGCTCACGGCAGGCACAAAGGAGGTCTGCCGTGAAGGGGATCGGTGGGCCGAGACGCATGATGCCCCAACATGGCGTTGGTGTTTGTGCTCTTCCCTGTGCCATTTTGGGGTTGCACAAACAGGGAAACAAGGCTAGACAGAGGAAAATAAGCCACCCCTCGTCCCACTAACAGCGAAACATCTTAAGACAGCAAACACATACAGGACTTGCATCAGAGAGAGCGTACAAAGGTCAGAGACACTCTTCCAGTGACTCCAATTGTTTGGGCATGCTCAAGAACAAACGTCACCTAACACATGACAGGTGAGGCACCGAAGGGATGACTCTCGTATCAGAAGATGCCAACTACCAGAGCTGTGCAGGTGCACCTTCAACCATAATTTAGGCAGGTTCAGCTCAAACTCTAGCTGTTTCAGCACAAGCCATGCCACATTTCAACTTCACGTGCAGATGCCCCGGCTACTGGCCACTGCAGCTGCACTTCAACAGAGATCAGCCAGCGACACTACACGTGGGGCTCAGCTGGGCATTTCGGTCCTTCACAATTAAATTGTGTTGGGACCCTGGGACACCAAAGGACTACCTGAATCCAAGCACGTTTAGGCATCCCAGTCCTTTGCACAACCATGCGGACACTCTCAACACAGGATGACTGCAAAAGCGTGAAAACAAACAAAAGAGGGAGGACACAGCTAAAATGGGGCGCCCCCCTTCTGTGGTGCAATTCAAAGCCAATCCAAGTGCCACAAGGAGTGTCCTGGATAGATTTTACATGGTTTCACACCCTGCCCTCTGGTAAAGGCAAGGGGTACAAAAGGCGCCATTTGCACAAGGAAGCGGTGGGCAGAAGGGATAGTTTAAAGCAGACACAGATGCATAATCATCAGTTCCGTGCATTTAGTTTTTTTCTAAACTTTTATGCGACAAAGCACATTTTTTAAAGGAATGCTTAACATTATCGTAATATATAAATTAATATTATAGATGCTCTTATTGCAGAGCACTGAAACGAGACAGGCAGTGCAAAAGTATGCACCATGTTTTAATTAATACCGTTTGTGCATAGATTTCAGTAGGTTATCAACATCAGCCACCTCCCCTGGCTTAACCGGGGACACAGATGGAGCGACATCTATTATGACTCAAGCAAAACACACCACATCATAAAACAGGAACTAATTACATACAGTGAAACGATCCAACCTTAAATCTCTGAGGCTGATGAAACTGTATTGTTGCCTTTTTCTGGTCAAAATCCTTCTTCAGCTGCATGTAGTTCACTCTGCCTTCTTTATTTAAAACTTTCTTTTTTCCATTCACACATCTGCAGATATTTACATCTCGCCCATAGTACAGACCCTGGCTGCACAGTTCCTTCAAATCTGACAGCTGGAACAGGGACTGGTAGTAAGCAGCCAGCCGAGGAGCATTTCTCTGAACGAGCAGCGGCTTTTGCTCCCAGTACTCCCTGAAAAACACCTCTTGTTTGATGGGAGAGATCAAGCTTCCAAAGAGGCTGTCTGGGCTCTCGAAACTCATGACTGATGGAGAGCAAGCTGCTTCCACCTTTGCTCGTTTACATGGTGCCTGCGTCTCTTTTCCCATTTCAGCATGCTTCCCTCCCTTCTTGGGCATGTTCCTGTACAAGAGGAGAGACAACCAAAAGAGTCAACCAGTAGCACAATCTCCAAAACTCATGGGCCCAGAGCAGCTTCACTTGCCTTCTCCAGTGGGATATGAGCGTACACTGAGAATGGCTCTGCTTCCACATGCTCACTATTTGCTCCAAGCAGCAGAACCAGGAAAGCCCACAGCAGGCCCCTAATCCTCTCTCAAACCTCAGCAAACTCCAAGGGGCTATACTGGGAGCCATTGCTCACAGCACCTCAAATCCCACAGCTGAGTTCATATGAAAAAACACACGATGGAACCCAATGGCCACACAGCAGATCCTGGCAAATGCAGGAACCCACCCGTGCAAAGAGCCTGGGGTGGACTGGTCTTCCCTAGCAAGACCTGCTAACTACTGAAAAATTAACTCATCTTTAAGAGATCCAATGGCAACACGCAAAGGGGGTGGGCAGAGGGGACAGGACCAGAAACTTGTACCCTATTACACTTCTTTGAAATGCATTAACGTTGGGGAAAAAAATGCACCAGTGGCTTTCCAGAGCACCACAGTGGATGTGCGGCCTTTCAAGTGCAGAACCCAACCTGTTATACACAGGGAATGGGATGGTGTGGTATGTGTTGAGGAAAGCTTTCCTTTGAAGCTGGCTTACACATTATAAACCCAGGGTCTGCACAGCTGTCCAGTTACCAGACTACAGCTTCAGCAGCAGAAGGCAGCTACTGCAGCGAGGGAATGCTGACACCAGTCTAACAGCATGCACCAAGGGCTTCACAAGAACACGGGAACAGCAAACACGGAAATGCAGTACGGAAAGGGGGAGGCCAAAAGTAGATTGGTGTGAAGGCAGAAGGAATATGTAACCGGGTTCAGTGGGCGAGGATGATTCGATTAGCAGGAAGGTTCCAGCAGCTTCCAAAGAAACTGAAAAACCCAGAGCAGATGCCTGTGTAGGTGGACTGGGATTTAGGAACACAAAGTGAAGACACCTGCTTGAGGTCTCAGGCCCTGGGAACTGCTTTATGCTGGGTTTTGTGGCAGTGCCAGGCACCTAGTGATGCTCCCCACAAAGTGACAGTGCCCCACATCTCAGCCTCTGTCAGGGTCTCCACACTGTATCTTGAATGGACAGGTTTAGCAAAACTACATTTACAGAAGACAGCAAACTTGGTTAGGCCTTTCCATTGATGCTATGCAATTACACCAAAACCTAAAACCTATTAGGTTCTGCTTCTGTCCCTGCAGAGCTCTCAAACTTTATGTTGCGTGTAGAACAAAAAGAATTCATTCATCAGAGTGCAGACATTTTAAGTTGGAAGTAATTTACTTTGTTTCTGCAGGTAGATAATACGTTCATTACTCATTATCTAAAGATCAAAAAGTTAATTCTCAAAGGGTTTATCTGCCAAGTTCTCAGGAAAGTCAAGGCAAAAAGCAAGTAACGGTAGGCATAACACCACAGTATGTGTAGACATACCTGCATTAACTCTTAAGCCTGTACTGGCATTTCATCCCCCAGAGTAGCCCAGAGCAGCAAGCAGCAGCAAAAGCCTGCCCGAGAACCCGAGTTAAGCATCCTGACGATGAGCTAGCACCAAGCCCTGTAGCACCGCAGCGTGCCAACTAGGCCTGGACTGGCCAACTCAAACCGACGCTGGGCATGTCTGAGCAAGTGTGCGAAGCCAACACACAAGAAGTTACAGCTTTCATCTGTAAGTAAAAATGACAGCTTTACTCCCAAAACTAAATGCTCTCATTTTTTAAGATCCTTTTACTTATACAGATCCCTTATCATTGGTGCTAGATGATCTTTAAGGTCCCTTCCAACCTAAACCATTCTGTGAATAGTAAAACCCCAGTCTTGGCATGTGCAGGCAGTGCTAAGCTCTCCCGTGCAGCTGTATGCAGGACACACTCGCTGCTCCACTAACTCCTGGGCAGAGCGTTTCATCAGTAGTTCCTGTAACAGCCTGTACCTCAGCAGTAACCTATGGGAGGGAATCCGTATCACCACCTCCCCGAGAGGATGGACATTCCAGGCTACAGCAACCTACAATTCTCAGTGAGGCAAGGGAATGCTTAGAAAGACTGAAAATCAATCCCCAATTGCTATCACTATCTGAAGATGCTGCCGGCACTCAGATCTCCAACTGACTTCCCCAAATGCCAGCAATACAAACATAACCAAGCTTGACTTGCCAGTTTGGAATCCCAGACCTAAATCCACCGTTCAACTTCTCAGCTCACACTGTATTTAACAAAGTTAAATTTAGGCATGTGCTATTCACAGAATGCAGCTTCATTTACACAGTGTGTTCTGTAGCGTTTTGTTAGTTATTACAAGCTTACAATCACAGAATGGTTTGGGTTGGAAGGGACCTGAAAAACCATCCCGTTCCAACCCCCCTGCCATGGACAGGGACACCTTGCACTAGACCAGGTTGCTCAAAGCCTCATCCAGCCTGGCCTTGAACACTTCCAGGGATGGGGCATCCACAGCTTCTCTGGGCAACCTGATCCAGTGCCTCACCACCCTCTCCGGGAAGAACTTCTTCCTGATATCCAATCTGAATCTCCCTGCTTTCAATTTAACCCTGTTCCCCCTTGTCCTGTCACTACAGGCCTTTGTAAAAAGTCCCCCCCAGCTTCCTTGTCAGCCCCTTCAGGTACTGGAAGGTGCAATAAGGTCTCCCCAGAGCCTTCTCTTCTCCAGGCGGAACAAGCCCAACTCTCTCAGCCTGTCCCCATAGCAGAGGGGCTCCAGCCCTCTGAGCATCTCCGTGGCCTCCTCTGGACTTGCTCCAACCAGTCAATATCCTTCTGATGTTGAGGGCTCCACAGCTGGACGCAGCACTCCAGGTGGGGTCTCACCAGAGCAGAGTAGAGGGGCAGAATCCCCTCCCTCGACCTGTTGGCCACACTTCTCTGGATACAGCCCAGGATACGGTTGGCTTTCTGGGCTGCCAGCGCACACTGCCGGCTCATGTTCAGCTTTTCATCCACCAGTACCAAGTCCCTCTCTGCCGGGACAGAGACAACACCGCAGCTACAGAAGGGGCCGGTTCCCACCAGACAAGAAGGGGTATTTCACACCCGTGTTTTCCAGCGGGCGGCCCACGTGTACCCGTGTATAAGCCCAGGCCTCTAAACTCGCCCAGCAACCGCAGGGGCTCAGCGGGAGCGGGAATAAAGATGCCCCAGCACCTCTGAGGCCACGCAACCCCCGCTGCCCCGACGTAACG